GAAGCTTTCAGAGGCCTGCAGTCTCTTCAGCAGTATTTTGAGGAGGGAGGAACATGATTTGTTGGAAACAGAAGGCAGGGGTTTGCGGAAATTGCAGCAGTATTACTATTTGCACAAGCATAGTACAAATAGCACTTCCATAGCACAATCCATAGCACTTTCACACCACACCAGCTCAGCTTATCCCCCAACAGCCCTGTGGGGTAAGCATTGTTATCATCACATCAACTTGAGATAAGGTAGGTAGAAATTCTAGAGATGGAGATGCAGGGGTGAGGCGCTCTGAGCAGAGGGAACTGCATACGCTTGTCAACAACCTCTCCACCCGGGTAGGGGCTCCCGACCTCTGATATCTCTGTCCCTTGACTTTTTAAAAATTTAGTAAAATAGATGCAACACAAATTTTACCATTTTGACCATTTTTAAATGAACAGTTCAGTCGGATTAAGTACATTCACACTGTTGTGCAATCATCACGACCATCCACCTCCAGAAAACTTTTTCGTCTTTCCAAACGGAAACTCTGAACCCATCGAACACTGTCCCTTGCCTGTCTAAGCCTCAAGTGGAAATGGGTCTCCCTCGTGACTGGCATTATGCCTGTGGATTCCCTAACACACCTTTGCAAACAGTCTTTTTTTTTTTTCTTTTTGAGGTGTAGTCTCGCTCTGTCACCCAGGCTGGAACACAGTGGCGCGATCTCGGCTCACTGCAACCTCTGCCTCCCGGGTTCAAGCGATTCTCCTGCCTCAGCCTCCTGTGTAGCTGGGACTACAGGCACCTGCCACCACACCTGGCTAATTTTTGTATTTTTAGTAGAGACGGGGTTTCACCATGTTGGCCAGGCTGGTCTCGATCTCCTGACCTCATGATCTGCCCACCTCCGCCTCCCAAAGTGCTGAGATTACAGGCGTGAGCCACTGTGCCAGGCCTGCAAACAGTCTCTTAATTAAACTATCCTCAGTGTACCCAACTGGACTGTGACATCTTTCTCTTGTTGGGCACCGGTACAGTAGTTCTATGAGGCTATTTGCTAAAATGATCTTATCTCCATTGTACAAACGAGAAGCTGAGGCAAGAGGAGGCTAAATAATTGCCTAAGGTCACAAAACCAGTAAGAGGTAGAACTGGGATTTAAACTCCAGCAGTCTTGTTCCAAGATAGTTGAAACCTAAGAGAAGACTACATAGTTGAATATGGTGGTGCCGCTGTAGTCCCAGAGACTCAGGAGGCTGTGGCAGGACAATTGGTTGAGCCCAGGAATTTGAGGTTACAGTGAGCTATGATCATGCCACTGCACTGCAGCCTGGGTGACACAGTGAGATACTGTTGAAAGAAAGAAAGTAAGAAAGAGAGAGAGAGACAGAGAGAGAAAGAAAGAAAGAAAGAAAGAAAGAAAGAAAGAAAGAAAGAAAGAAAGAAAGAAAGAAAGAAAGAAAGAAAGAAAGAAAGAAAGGAAAGAAAGAAAGAGAGAGAGAAAGAAAGAAAGAAAGAAAGAAAGAAAGAAAGAAAGAAAGAAACAAAGGCAGAGAGAGAGAGAAAGAGAAGGAGAGAAAGAAAGAAAAGAAAGGAGAAAGAAAGAGGCCAGGCATGGTGGCTCACGCCTATAATCCCAGCACTTTGGGAGGCTGAGGTGGGCGGATCACCTGAGTTCAGGAGTTCAAAAGCAGCCTAGCCAACATGGTGAAACTCCATCTCTATTAAAACTACAAAAATTAGCTGGTCGTGGTGGTGGGCGCCAGTAATCTCAGCTACTCGTTACTCGGGAGGCTGAGGCAGGAGAAAGAACCGAGAAAGAGAGAGAGGGGAGAGAGGGAGAGGGCAGGGGCGCGAGAGGAGAGAGAGGGAGAGACGGCTACAGAACTGACCACTGAGGAACATGGGGATTCAGTGCAAGCTGAAGAGACCTCAGGAAGGCTGCTGTGCATCTGGGCGGAGGAGAGCAGGAGTAGGAGCCCAGCCTCAGGCGCGCTGAGGCGGAAGAGAATGTCCTGATGGGAGACACTGCCACTGCTAGTGGCTGCCTGCCCCTTGTCCCTCCTGAGCTGAGCCATGCAGTTAGCTGACCCTGCCAGGAAGAGGCTGAGAAGAGCCTCACCAGGGATGAGCTGCGAGGGCCAGAGGTGAGGATGATGCTGACATAGGAGTGAAGGTGTCCCACCCTGTTCCAGGCCACAGCCCTGCCACCTGAGTGGCTTGGCCCAGGTGTGACTGGTGTGACCAAATGGATTTACTCCACTGGGGAAGGGCTCCTGGGTTTGCCTCCCTCCACGACGCTGCCAGGCAGCACCGCCATAAAAGCCTGGCCAGGCGCCTGGGAGAGCCGGGACCGAGAAGCAAAAGTGAGAAGAGGAGACACAGGACCAAGGAGATGCTCTCCCTGCTCAGTGGGCTGGCTTTACTTGCCATTTCCTTCCTGCTCCTGAAACTTGGCACCTTCTGCTGGGACAGGAACCGCCTTCCTCCTGGCCCATTCCCCTTCCCCATCCTTGGAAACCTGTGGCAGCTACGATTTCAGCTGCACCCAGAGACACTGCTCCAGGTAGGAAGCCTGTGCGAAAGCTGGAGGCCCTAAAGCAGTGGACAGATGAACCCCTCCTCTCTCTCAGCCCAGTGGCACTGGAGACAGAAAGAAGGAACGGGTCAGACACGTGTGGGGTGAATCCTAGTCTTGCCATTCATTAGCTGGGAGGCTTTGAGCCTCAATTTCCTCACCTGTCAAATGCAGGGTGGTAGGGGGATTGCAAAAATTGTGCAGAATCTAAGAAGTCTAATCTAAGAAATTCTGAGTGCAGTAGAAGTCCACTGCCAATGGAACAGGATGGCAAAAACCACTGAACAGAATTCGACTCCAGGAGAGCACTGTGTGTGGCTGGAAGAAGTTTTCTGAAAAGCCACTTGAGATGGGAGTTGGGGAAATGGGACCCCACAAGGGCACATTCAAGTGATGTTACTCAAGGAATCGCTGCACAAAGTCACTGCCAGGGTAGTTGGAGCCTCAGCTGAAGGGCGCTGTTGGATTGAGTGGGTGGAGCTGGGTTGCTGCTGAGAACGATGTGTTTCCTGAGGCCATGCTCAGCCCTCTTCTTTATCACACTCAACAAAATTTTTTAAAATATCTGGTTGGCGCTGTCAGACAATTATGATCCTCAGGCTTCCCACGCAGTGGAAAGAGCACTGTACTGGGAGTCAGGAGACCTGGGTTCAAGGTCCTCATCTTTTACTGTCTTTTTTGGCCTCTGTTTTTTGGGGTTTTGTTTGTTGGTTGGTTGGTTGGTTTTGAAATGGAGTCTCGCTCTGTTGCCCAGGCTGGAGTACAATGGCACAATCTCAACTCACTGCAACCTCCGCCTCCCAGGTTCAACCGATTCTCCTGCCTCAGCCTCCCGAGTAGCTGGGATTACAGACCTGCACCACCATGCCCTGCTAATTTTTGTATTTTTAGTAGAGACGGGGTTTCACCATGTGGGCCAGGCTGGTCTCAAACTCCTGACCTCAGGTGATCCACCCGCCTTGGCCTCCCAAGTGCTGGGATTACAGGCGTGAGCCACTGCGCCCAGTCTGGCCTCTGTTTTTTAACTCATAAAATGGAGATAAAGAGCCTACCTGCACACTTATACCGAGGGTGGACTCAAATAAAATATGTAAAGCCCACGTGGGACACCAAGTCCTGGAGAAACTGGTTATTTACTATCATCTGTAACATGGGTAGAACACTCCCACCTCCCAGGATTAATGGGGTGAAAGTGCTGGGCCCTGACTATTCCAAGTGCACGGGGTGGGCCTGTGACCCAGGGCTTGGCTTGGCTCCCCTGGGGAACAGGGCTGGAGTCACTCTGAGAAGGTGTTCCTGCGGTAAGTGTCACCCCGTCTCTCCACAGCTGGCACAGACCCACGGCAGTGTGTTTGTTCACAGTGTGGGTGAGCCCGATCCCCATCGTGGTGCTGAGTGGCTTCCAGGCGGTGAAGGAAGCGCTGGTCTCCAACTCGGAGCAGTTCTCCGGCAGGCCCCTCACCTCGCTCTTCCAGGACCTGTTTGGAGAACAAGGCAGGGCTGCCCCTCCTGCTGGGGAGGAGGAGGCGGCTAGATGGTCACTACACTCAGGGAGTCGGGGCTAGCCCAGAGCTGTTAACAGAGAGGGGACTGCCAGGAGGACTTGTGTGAGGGGAGGGGGTGGTATGAAAGGAACCAGCTCTGGGGGTTCAAAGATCAGGATTCAAGTCTCAACCCAAGCCCTGGCCAGCTCCGTGACCCTGGGCAAGTCAGCCTCACTCTCTGCCCCTCAGTGGGCTCCTGTGTAGATGGGGATGATGATGGCTCTACATCCTGAGAATGTGGGGAGGGGATTAAGTGGCCAAAATACCTGATAGTGCCCGTTCAGTGCCTGGTTCAGCAAACACCCTTGTTCCCGCCTTGCCTCTCCCTAGAACCCCTCCTCCCCTGCGTTCTTTTTTTTTTTATTTGACCCAGAGTCTCATTCTGTCGCCCAGGCTGGAGCACGGTGGAACAATCTTGGCTCACTGCAACCTCCCCCTCCTGGCTTCAAGCAATTCCTGTGCCTCAGCCTCTCGAGTAGCTGGGGTTACAGGCACATACCACCACACCCCGCTAAGGTTTTTATTTTTTTATTTTTATTTTTTTTGTAGTAGAGACCAGGTTTCAGCATGTTGGCCAGGCTGTTCTCGAATTCCTGACCTCAGGTGATCCACCCGCCTTGGCCTCCCAAAGCGCTGGGATTACACGTGTCAGCCACCACGCCCAGCACCCTGCATTCTTTATCTCCTCTTCCATTTCTTGTGGGGACTCTTAAAGGAAAAATCGGGTTGGTGGACTGGGGGAGGGCATAGCTGAGACCATCTTGAGGGCACCAAGCTCACTGACCACTCCCTCAAAAGCCCCTCAGCCCCGGGGCAGAGCATCATCCCAGAGGTGATTCTGGGGTCTGCCCTCCAGGTCCGGCCCCCGTGAGAGCCAAGTGGTCTTGGTCTGGGAGGCTGGGATGGCTAGTGACTGTCCACCCCACTCTGCCCCGGACCCAGGCATCGTCTGCAGCAGAAGGCACATGTGGTGGCAACAGAGACGCTTCTGCGTGGTGACGCTTCAAGGGCTGGGCCTAGGCAAGCTGGCGCTGGAGGTGCAGCTGCAGAAACAGGCAGCAGAGCTGGTGGAAGCCTTCCGCCAGGAGCTCAGTAAGTAGCAGGCCGGCGGCAGGCCTACCCTCACCCGCTCTCCCCACGCACACACACACCCCTGCAGAGGAGGCAAGCCTCACTGCATAGGCGTGTGTGTGTCCAGGAAGCCTCAGAACGTTAATAGCAATTTTAAGCTCCATCGAGTGGGAGTTTCTCCAAGGTGGGTGGACAGAGGCCCAGGAATGGCCAAGGTCACTGGGAAGCCAGAACCCTCCTTGACAGCTGGGGAAGTATCCTCCACCAACATCCAAGGCGGCCGAGCGCGGTGGCTCCCCCGTGTAATCTCAGCACTTTGGGAGGCAGAGGCAGGCGGATCACCCGAGGTCAGGGGTTTGAGAGCAGCCTGGCCAACATGGTGAAACCCTGTCTCTACTAAAAATACAATTAGCCAGGTATGTTAGGCTAATCCTGTAATCCCAGCTACTCTGGAGACTGAGGCAGACGAATCGCTTGAACCCGGGAGAAGGAGGCTGCAGTGAGCCGAGGTCATGCCATTGCACTCCAGCCTGGGCCACAGAGCAACACTCCATCTCAAAAAATAAATAATAAATAAAATAACAAAAAACTAACAAACAAATCATCCAAGGCGTCTCACACCTCTAGCCATTGGCACATGCTGTTCCCCTTCCAGAACATCCCAGCCCATGTCCCTTCCCTCCCCATGAGAAACCACTGCTGCTTCCTCCAGACCAGCTGTGGTCACCTGCCCTGAGAAATCCTCCTGAATGCCAGGCCCCCAAACCTTTTTATTCCCGGCTGTGACACAGCTGCCCCACATTCCGTTGTCATTCAAATGGCTGTCTGTCTCCCATGCCTCTCTCTGACCTGGCTCATAGAAAGTGCTTGGTAAGCACTTGGGTTTTTTGTTTTTGTTTCTTTGTTTTGTTTTGTTTTTGAGATGGAGTTTCGCTCTTGTTGCCCAGGCTGAGTGTAGTGGCACGATCTCGGCTCACTGCAACCTCCATCCCCCGGGTTCAAGTGATTCTCCTGCCTCAGCCTCCCAAGCAGTGGGATTACAAGTGTACGCCACCAGGCCCAGCTAATTTTTGTATTTTCAGTAGAGACGGGGTTTCACCATGTTGGCCAGGCTAGTCTCGAACTCCTGACCTCGGGTGATCCACCCACCTCAGCCTCCCAAAGTGCTAGGATTACAGGCGTGAGCCACCATGCCCAGCCGGCAAGCATTTGCTGAGCGCGTGAGTGAGGAATAGGAATGGAGGACCCAGTTAGTAAATGAGCGACTATATACAAGATCAGATGGGTGTTCAGGGCAGTGCTTCTTGTGCCTCCTTGTCCTGAGCCCTGCCCCTCTGCCCTCAGGTAGATCCTTCGACCCTCAGGTATCCATTGTCAGGTCCACAGTCAGAGTCATCGGGGCCCTTGTGTTTGGCCACCACTTCCTCTCAGAGGATCCCATCTTCCAGGAACTGACTCAAGCCATTGACTTTGGCCTGGCCTTGGTCAGAACTGTGTGGCACTGGGTAATTGGCATCTAGGGAGGCAGGTGTGCAGGCCATTAGACTGGGGGCCAAAGGCAGACAGGGGCCTTAGCCAGGGCCTGGCAGGGAGGGTGCAAGGTGGGCAGGAGGGAGACCGTGGCTTCTGCCTGGTAGCTGACACATTCAGAGCTTCAAATCTTTGTTGTGGTTCAGCATGAATGCATGGGCAAGGAATCAGAGGCTGGTTATATCCTCAGAAATACAGTTTTCTGGACCTGCAACATCCAAGTGAAGCCCTAAGCACAACTGCTCTGACCACAGCTCTCATTTCTGTCCAGATTATTTTGGGGGTCTCCAGATGAGAGGCAGCCCTGGGTTACTCAAGTCAAAGGCCCCAGCCCACTTTGGAGCCCCCCCGACTCAGGGGCTGGCTCCTGAGGAGGGCCTGGGTGGGCCTCTCTCTCCACAGCTGCACGACGTGTTTCCCCGGGCCCTCTGCCACCTCCCAGGACCCCACCGGGAGATAGTTAGGTACCAAGGGGTCGTGCGGAGCTTCACCCGCCGGGAGATCACCGGGCGCAAACTCAAAGCACCGGAGGCTCTCAAGGACTTCATCAATTGCTCCCTGGCCCAGATCTCCAAGGTGAGCCTGGAACAGCTGCTCGGGAAAGGAGGGGCCATCTTTTTTGGCTGCACCTCGTTTCTAAACCATGGTCTCAGTTTCTCATCTTTGGCTCTGTCTACAAACTTCCAAAGCACCCTGAAAGCTTGAGTTAAAACAGGGTTTTCCTCCCTGCCTTTTCCCAGGGCAGGGCTGGCTTCTGCAGGCATGGGTAGGGTGGGAAGCAGAAGACCTGGCTGATGTCAGGGCCAGAACGCCAGGGCAGCCCCCCATCAACATCAGTGCAGTCCTGAGAGTCAGGCCCTCTCGAGGGGTTGGAACCTCAAGTTCTGGCCGCACAGGTCTCAGATCAGGCTTCAAGGAAACCCCAGGGCTCTGTCAGGAGAGAACTTTAGACCTGGAGCTGCACCCCCCACTCACCCATCCCCCACTCGCCAGGCCATGGATGAGCCTGTCTCCACATTCCACGAGGAGAACCTGGTCCAGGTGGTGATCGACCTGTTTCTGGGAGGCACCAACACCACGGCCACCACCCAGCGCTGGGCACTCGTCTACATGATCCAGCACGGAGCTGTCCAGGGTGAGGGGCCCTTGGTCACGCCCTGGCTGACCGCCTCATGCATGGGGCTCCTGGGCCGTGGGCATTGCCCCCATCACTCTCCTTGCTCTGTGGCCCCGGGGTGGTCCTGCTCTCGCCGCTGTGGTACAGGAAGTGTTCATGACTTTGAGTCAGACAGGAGGGGCTTCAGTTCCCACCCTGTTGCTTACTGTGTAATGCTGGGCAAGTCATTCCACCTCTCAGACCCAGTGTACAATGGACAACACTATTCTACTCATTCAGTAATGATTCAGCACCTACTAAGTGCCAGGCCCTGTGCTGATGTCCACCTCAAGATCACAACTGTGAAGGGGAAAATGTAACTGGATTTCTCTCAAGGACAAACTGACCATGACCTGAATTCAAATCTGGTGCCACAAGTTTCGTGACCTTGGGCAAAAGTACCTGTCCTGTTACAGCCTCAGTTTCTCCATCTGTAAAATGGAGACAACAGTCCCCCCTCCATAACAATGCTTTTTTTTTTTTAGACAGCATCTTGCTCTGTTGCCCAGGCTGGAGGGCAGTAGCATGATCTCGGCTCACTGCAACCTCTATCTCCCGGGTTCAAGTGACTCTCCTGCCTCAGCCTCCCGAGTAGCTGGGATGACAGGTGCGTGCCACCACAAGCAACTAATTTTTTTGTATTTTTAGTAGAGATGGGGTTTCATCATGTTGGCCAGGCTTGTCTAGAACTCCTGACCTCAAGTGATCTGCCTGCCTCGGCCTCCCAAAGTGCTGGGATTACAGGCGTGAGCCACCACGTCCAGCCAATATTTATTTATTTTTGAGACAGAGTCTTGCTCTGTCGCCCAGGCTGGAGTGCAGTGGCATGATCATGGCTCACCACAGCCTCCACCTCCCAGCTCAATCAATCTTCCCACCTCACCCTCCCGAGTAGCTAGGACTACAGGCATGAGCCCCCATGCCTGGCTAATTTTCATGGTTTTTGTTGTTGTTTTGTTTTTTGTAGAGATGCAGTTTCACCATGTTGCCCAGGTTGGTCTCCAGCACAGTTGAAGATGACAGCTCTCTGATGATCCAGCTTGAAACAGGTTTCCGCGCAGATTTTTGACACGAGCTGGACAATAACGTGATGACACCTGCTCTTTGCCCAGGCTTGCTGCATGCTGAGAGCTTTGTGCCCGCGGCGTCATTTGATACAATGGTGCTCTGTATTGTTGACGGAGCCATGCAGATCCTAGATGACAGATGTTGAGTTACTTACCTATCTTACGGTGTAACAAATTACCCCAAAACTTAGTGACTTTAGAACAACAGCATTTATCATGTCACAGTTTCTGAGGGTCGGGAAAATGGGTGCGGCTCAGATGGATGCCTCTGACTCAAGATCTCTCATGAGGTTACCATCAAGTTGTTGCTGGGGCTACAGTGTCACCTGAAGACTCCCCTAAGGGAGGTTCCACTTCAAGCTCACTTACACAGAGGTCTTCAGGACCCAGTTGCTCATGAACTGTTGGCTGGAGACCTTCAGTTCCTTGACACATGAGCCTCTGCATTGGACAGCTCAAAACATGGCAGCTGACCCCCATCAGAGACAGCAACCAAGAGGGCACCCAAAATGGAAGCAACGGTCTTTTTGTAACCTAATCTTAGATGTGATATCCCATTGCTTTTGCCATAACCTTCTTTTTTTTTTTTTTTTTTTTTTTTTTTTTTTTTTTTCTTTTGAGACAGAATCTCACTCTGTCACCCCAGGCTGGAGTGCAGTGGTACAATCTCAGCTCATTGCAACCAACGCTTCCCGGGCTTAAACAATTCTCCTGCCTCAACCTACCGAGTAGCTGGGATCACAGGTATGTGCCACCATGCCTGGCTAATTTTTTTACATTTTAGTAGAGATGGGTTTTTGCCATGTTGGCCAGGCTGGTCTTGAACTCCTGACCTCAAGTGATCGACCTGCCTCAGCCTCCCAAAGTGCTGGGATTACGGGTGTGAGCCACTGCGCCTGGCCGCTTTTGCCATAATCTATTGATTGGGTTTGTTGCTGCTGTTGTTGTTTGAGACACTGTCTCCCTCTGTTGCCTGGGTTGGAGTGAAGTGACACAACAATGGCTCACTGCAGCCTCGACCTCCCTGGCTTGGGTGATCCTTCCACCTCAGCCTCCTGAGTAGCTGGAACTACAGGCACGTGCCACCACAATGGGCTAATTTTTAAATTCTTGGTAGAGATGGGGTTTCACCATGTTTCCTAGGTTCTTCTCAAATTCCTGGGCTCAAGTGATCCTCCCACCTTGACCTTCCAGAGTGCTAGGATTCCAGGCGTAAGCCACTGCATCTGGCCCATTTTCTATTTGTTAGAAGTGAGTTACTAAATCCATCCTATCCTCAAGGGGAGGGGATTACACAAATGTGTGTATCCTGGGAGTCAAGGCTCATTGGGGTAACATAGCAACATGTGTAGGTGGTGAGGTTGCCATTTTAATGAAAACGAAACAGAGTGGCCCGTCTTGGTGCCCTGGTGCAGGGTGATGCCTCTGTACATAGAGGTGGTGGCGGGAGCCCTGAGACGTTACTCGGAAAGCTTTGACTCTGCCCTGAGTACTGCCCGGGAGTACAGTGGTGTGACCTTAGCTCACTGCAGCCTCCACCTCCAGGGCTCAAGCAATTCTCCCACCTTATCCTCCCAAGTAGCTGGTATTACAGGCACGTGCCACTCCACCCGGCTAATTTTTGTTATTATTTTTTATTTATTTTTAGTAAAGACGGGGTTTCGCCAGGTTGGCCAGGCTTGTCTTGAACTCCTGACCTCAAGTAATCCACCTGCCTCCACCTCCCAAAGTGCTGGGAATATAGGCATGAGCCACTGTGCCTGGCCCCATTATTAACTTATTATTAATTTGCCCAGACTTGAGGTTCCCTCCTCCACACATGTTTTTCTTCACAGCAGCCCTATCCTTCGGATGCTTTGTTGCTGTTTCTTTTCCATAGATAGAGAAACTTCACCGTAGAGAGCTCAAGAAACTGCCCAAACACAACTAGTAAGTGACTTACTTAGCTGAGTTTCAAACACATGTCGCTCTGACTCTAAAGTGTTTTCTTTTCCTACCATACGCCCTACTGTATTTCTACGAAAATGCCACTCTAGGAAAGTGAAACAATGTGCTAAATGGAGGTGTTTTGCATTGTCACTCTGTCCTCGGCAGAAATTGGCCAGCAAGTTTACAGGTTTGTCAAGGGTCTCTGGGAACGTGGATAGGACCAGGGCATCAAGTCATCCTGCTGCTGGCCTGGCAAGAGGACCAGGCCCAGGTTGTCTAGAAGCTGTGCCAACTTAAGTCAAGTTAAAAAGAGGGGGCCAGGGTTCCGCTCTGTGTTATGCCATTTGGGATTAGAAATTTCCTTATTAAGAGCTCATTCCTGCCAATTTGATTCTAGGAGTTGTTCTGTGATAAAGGCTCCAGGGGCCCATTAATGAGCTGAAATCAATATTGAGCTTTTACAGCTTGGGCGAGAGATGTCTGCTGAAAGTGGAATCAAAACCTGACAGGAGATCATTAAATGTTACAGATATTCTTAAACTGTTCCTAACCATTCCATCAGTTGAGTGATCGTGACAACAGCAATAGTCCCTGATACGATGGTTGCACTTCCAGCCTGTCTCTCTTCTCAGACATTCTATTTGATTGTGAATTCCAAACTGCCATTTACTGGGCAGAAGCTGGCACAGAGACCCCGGGAGGTACCCAGCAGGCAGATGGTTTTACAGTCTGGGGAAGTGGAGGGTGGTTGGTGGTGGGGGGGGGACTATCCTTTTTGCATACTGGAGAGGCTGTGCTCTGAACCTGGTCCATGAGCTAAGATCAGTCAGTCACTTTGCGAGGAGGCCAGAACATCACCCAGAAAAGGACACAAATAATTCTGGAGGGAAAAGAGCATCTTGCTAGGAGCCTCCTCTTCTGAAGGTGATTAGTAAAAACTGCTGCAATGCAGAGGGTTATTTAATCCCGGGCAGAGAAAATGGGGGAATTCCCATGACTAGAATTGGGAAATCTATAGCTCACTCAGGCAGCAGCAAGCACACAGGCCTCTCTAGCACCTCTGCTTAAAGCCACAGAGTGAGCAAGTCTGGGTGCCCTACTGGTACATGTGGCTAGGACGAGGCACCTTGCCTAAGCCCACCGTACTGCAACAGCAGCAAAAAACAACAATTCTCCCTGAAAACAATTTCTGCATTCTGGTTTTTTTTTTGGGGGGGGGGGGTTGTTGTTGTTGTTGCTGTTGTTGTTGTTTTCGAGACAGAGTCTTGCTCTGTCGCCCAGGCTGGAGTGCAGTGGCGCCATCTCGGCTCACTGCAACCTCTGCCTCTTGGGTTCAAGCAAGTGATTCTCCTGCCTCAGGCTCTTGAGTAGCTGGGATTACAGGCATGCACCACCATGCCTGGCTAATTTTTGTAACTTTAGTAGAGATGGGGTTTCACCATATTGGCCAGGCTAGTCTCCAACTCCTGATCTTGAGTGTTCCACCCCCCTTAGCCTCCCAAAGTGCTGGGATTACAGGCGTGAGCCACCGCGACCGGCCAACATCTGCTCAATTTCTGCATTCTTTATTGGCTTCTGTTTGGAATGCAGGCTTTAAATTCACTGAGCTTTTTTTTTTTAATTTCAAGCCTTTTTTTGGTCAAAATCAAGAATTCTGTAGTCAGCCCTCTGGTCTCTACAGGGGTAGCTGGTTTAATTTTGTGGTATTTGGCAAATGAGCCCTGGGGTATGAGGCCTTCCCCAGAATCCCAGAGCTGAGTGTCCTGGGGCGGGGGACCATAACCGACCCCATCCTGGCTCCACTTTGACTTCCTTATGTTGTTTCCAGTCAGCCCACATGGTAAAGAGCAGATGTCACCCTGCTCCCATCTGCTTGGTCTGATTCTCTTTCTAATCGCTCACTTCTCCTTTGAGTAGAGTGAGGGCTGGGATGAGGGTGAGAGGAAAGATTTGGTTTGGGTTTGGGGGAACGTGAGGGTTAGGGTTAGGTTGAGGGTTAGAGTTGGGCTTACGGTTCATGTTTTTCTCTTCCCAATCCTAAAGAGTGAAGCTTTCTGTCTCCTCTCTGTCTTTCCATTGCTCAGTTCCTTTTTCTCTGCCTGTTTGCCATTCCGTTTCTCCTCACTCTGTCTCTTCCTCTAACACCCACGCGCACACATACCCCCTGCCCAGGTGTGTGTTGTCCTGGGCTGTCCTTGGCCCCTTCCAGACATGCCACCAGCTGCTGGCCTTCTCTGTAGGAGGCAACCGCTTCATGTCCCCAGACGTGGCTGGGAGTCTTCAGGACAAAGCTGGGCAGTCCTTAGCCAGGAGGGTGTCCTGCTTGGCTCCTGCACTGATGTAAGCCTGGAGGAAGGGCAGCCTGAGGGCCGGCTGCTGAGTCTCCTCGAGGCCCCTGGACTACTCCCACCAGCACAGTGGGTATTCTCCAAGCTCACTGTGGCTCAGTGTCAGGGCTGGGTACTGGGCACCATCTGAGGCTCCCTGATCCACACCAGCATCTCTCTGTAGGGCACCATCATCTTACCCTTATGTAGAGGCTCTGTGCTCTACGACCCTGAGTGCTGGGAGACCCCTCCACAGTTCAACCCTGGCCACTTCTTGGACAAGGATGGAAACTTTGTGGCCAATGAGGCCTTCCTGCCATTCTCTGCAGGTACTAGGCACAGAGCTGGATCCTGGGTAGTGGGTGGGGCTATGGTGGGACAGACACAGAGACAGCTGCCACCTCTGACTTTTCTCTCTGTTTCCAGGGCATTGTGTGTGCCCAGGGGACCAGCTGGCTCGAATGGAGCTCTTCCTGATGTTTGCCACCCTCCTTAGGACCTTTCGGTTCCAACTGCCAGAAGGGAGCCCAGGGCTCAAGCTGGAGTACATCTTTGGGGGCACTTTGCAACCTCAGCCCCAGGAGATCTGTGCAGTGCCCCGCCTGAACAGCCCCAGCCCTGGTCCTAGGGAGGATGGCCTGTAGCCACGGGGGTTCTGGAGGCCTGTCCCCCATGAAGTCCTTCCTCAGTGTCTTGGTTTCTCAAAGTTAGAGAAGAGGAGGACCAGGGGTTCATGCAGCTCAGCTGCTCACGGTTACCCCTAACACAAGCTCTGTGGGGTGACACTGGAGAGTAGACTTAGCAAGGATTCTACAGAGGTAGAGCAGTTTGGGTAGTTCAGTCCTTAGATTAGGTTAGTTATGCTTTGGCAGGGAAAGATTTTATAAGATTGGTTAAGTTTGGCATTAAATCAGTCCACAAAGTTAATTTTGGGAAATCAAGCCCCACAAGGCAGCAGCTAACTAGGTTCAGAGGAAAAGGCAAACTTTCGAGCAAAATTATAAATATAATAATGCACGCAAATGCAAATACTTGATGCTGGGGACAGGTAAGCCAAAAAAAAAAGTGAAGCGGGGGCAGCTTATTTTCTGCCCTCTCCTGCCCTCTGCTGACCAGAAGGAAGAACTGCAGTTCTCTGCAGACCTATGGCAGAGAAAGATCTCACCATCTCAATCCAGCAAAGCCAGCAGACCATATAACTGTTCCCAGTAAATTCTTCACCAAAGACCCACTTTAGTTTCCACACAAGGGTCCCTAAATTTTGAATCATTGTGTCTCCAGACAAGCTTTGTTTATTAAAAAAGAATGACATGTGGCTGGGCATAGTGGCTCACGCCTGTAATCCCAGCACTTTGGGAGGCCGAGGCAGGTGGATCACTTGAGGTCAGGGGTTCAAGACCAGCCTGGCAAACATGGGGAAACCCCATCTCTACTAAAAATACAAAAATTAGCCGGGCATGGTAGTGGGCGCCTGTAATCCCAGCTACTCGGGAGGCTGAGGCAGGAGAATCGCTTGAACCCAGAAGGTGGAGGTTGCAGTGAGCCAAGATCGCACCATTGCACTCCAGCCTGGGTGCCAAGAGTGAAATTCTGTCTCAAAAAAAAAAAAAAAAAAAAAAAAAATGGCTTGTGAGTTCCAGGAGGCAGAGGTTGCAGCGAGCGGAGATTGCACCACTACCCTCCAGCCTCAGGGACAGAGTGAGACTCCGTCTCAGGAAAAAAAAAAAAAAGACTGACTTGCATTAAGGAAATGCAAACTAAAACAAAATGAAATACCATTACATACCTATTAGAATTGCTAAAAAGGAAACCCTGACAATCCCAAGTACTGGAAAAGATGTAAAGCAAATGGAATTCTTGTACCCTGCAGATGGAAATGTAAAATGGTACAACTACATTGGAAAACAGTTTGGCAATTTCTTGTAAAATTAAACATTACACCACACAACCCAGCAGTCCCACTCCTAGGTATTACCCAAAAGAAATGAAAATATATGTTCACACAAATGCATATTATATGATTCAATTTCTGTGATATTCTTTAAAAGGCAAACCTATAGGGACAGAAAATATTTGGTAGATAAGTGGCTGCCAGGATTCAGGAGTAGGGTTACGGTTTGACTGTAAAAAGACATGAGGGAACTTTCTGGGGTAATAGAAATGTTCTGTATCTTGATTGTGGTGATGGTTACACAACTGTATGTGTTTGTCAAAACTCATACAACTGTACACTTAAAAGAGTGTTATTGCATATAAACCATGCCTCAACAAATCTGAGCTTTAAAAAGGAAATGCCTCGGGCTGGACACGGTGGCTCACACCAGTAATCCTAGCACTTTGAGAGGCCAAGGCGGGCAGATCACCCGAGGTCAGGAGTTCAAGACCAGCCTGGCAAACACGGTAAAGCCCTGTCTACTAAAAATACAAAAAAGTTAGCCAGGTGTAGTGGCGTGTGCCTGTAATCCCAGTTACTCAGGAGGCTGAGGCAGGAGGATTGCTTGAACCTGGGAGGCGGAGGTTGTAATGAGCAGAGATTGTGCCACTGCACTCCAGCCTGGGAGACAGAGTGAGACTCCATCTCAAAAAAAAAAAAAAAAAAGGAATTGCCTTACCGCTCTCTTTCGTGTTATTTAAAGGATGTACATATGAATGGACCAGTGTTTCTAATTAGTAGGAGATCAATCACTACTGCTACACCAGCCTGAAAGGAGTCTAGCCAGAAATAAGAAAACATGTCGTATTGGCCAGGCTCAATGGCTTGCACTTGTAATCCCAGCACTTTGGGAGGCTGAGGTGAGTGGATCACTTGAGGCCAGGAGTTCAAGACCAGCCTGGGCAACATGGTTAAACCCCATCTCTACTAAAAATACAAAAATTAGCCAGGTGTGGTGGTGCACACCATAGTCCCAGCTACTTGGGTGCCTGAGGCAGGAGAATCACTTGAACCCAGGAGGCGGAGGTTGCAGTGAGCAGAGATCGCGCCACTGCACTCCAGCCTGGCTGACAGAGTGAGACCTTGTCTCAAAAAAACAAAACAAAACAAAAAACAGAAACCATGATGTATGAATTAGCCTCTGGCCTTTCTTCAGATGTTCCTCTAGGCTTTGTGACATCCTGGAGCTTTCTCATAGATACCCTATTTTCTGTGTGGTGCCATAGCCAGGACCTCGGGAGTCCAGACTGGGAAGCACCAGGCAAGTGGGGTCCCAGACAACAGGAGACAGCTTGGGGTTCTCAGGCCTGGGAGGTCCCACCCTGAGCTGGCAGCTGTCTGTGATCCAGGCAGGCTCTGAGGTGGAGAAAACAAAGTCGGGCTCTAATTCACCTGCTTCCTGCCTCACTTTCCTAACCCTCTCTCTGTTAGAGCCCCTGTCTGGAGCTTGCAGCCCCTTCTAACACCCACCCCCTCCACCATCCAGCCTCCCATCTTTGATCCTCTCCAGCCCTCTGCATGCTATTCCATTCAAAGGCCAACTCCTCCAGGAAGCTTTCCCTAACTTGGGCTTTGGCCTTGGTTGAAATCCCAGTTGTGCTCTCAATAACCCAGTCCTTGTGTGCTTCGGTTTCCTCATATGACAAATGGAGGCTTCCTTTAGGATTGTTGGGAGTGACAATGCCCAGCACAGGGCCTGGCGGGTGATGAATGATCTGTTTATGTTGGCAGGGCTCTCCTTCCCCTAGACAGCATCCAAAAGCACTCGCACCTTTGTTTTTAGCTCTAAGATGATGACGCTGCAGGGAGCCCTCCCCCCGTGGATAGGCTTCCCTTTCAGCTTCCATATCCTCATGATGATATGACCATAGCTGCCATGTGTGGATTGCCAACTGTGTGCCAGGAAGTGCACTGGGCACCTAACATAGATGAAGTTATTTAAATACCAAAGTGACAAGGTAGATATAATTATCTGAATTAATTAATTAATTTTTTTTTTTTTTTGAGACAGAGTCTTGTTCTGTTGCCCAGGCTAGAGTGCAGTGGCACGATCTCAGCTCACTGCAAGCTCCACCTCCCGGGTTCACGCCATTCTCCTGCCTCAGCCTCCCCAGTAGCTGGGACTACAGGTGCGCGTGCCACCATGCCTGTCTAATTTCTTTTTGTATTTTTAGTAGAGACGGGGTTTCACTGTGTTAGCCAGGACGGTCTCGATCTCCTGACCTCGTGATCCACTTGCCTCGGCCTCCCAAAGTGCTGGGATTACAGACGTGAGCCACTGTGCCTGGCCAAATTAATTAATTTTTGAGATGGAGTCTCACTCTGTCGCCCAGGCTAGAGTTCAGTGATCTTGGCTCACTGCAACCCCAGCCTCCCAGGTTCAAGCGATTCTACTGCCTCAGGCTCCTAGGTAGCTGGGATTATAGGCGCGCACCACCCCTGGTTAATTTTTGTATTTTTAGTAGAGACAGGGTTTTACCAGGTTGGCCAGGCTGGTTTCAAACTCCTGACCTCACGTGATCTGCCACCTTGGCCTCCCAAAGTGCTGGGATCACAGGTGTGAGCCACCGGGCCAGCCTGAATTGATAGGAATGAAAATCAGGAGCTCGCCAGTGAATTAGTTAGAAAGTGTCAAAATATCAGTAAGCCTCAGTTCCCTCATCTGCAAAGTGGAGATAATAATGCTAACTCATTTGATTGATATTAACATTAAATATAATAATGCGGCCAGGAGCAGTGGCTCATAACTATAATCCCAGCACTTTGGGAGGCCGAGGTGAGTGGATCACCTGAGGTCCAGAGTTCAAGACCAGCCTGACCAATATGGTGAAACCCTGTCTCTACCAAAAATACAAAAATTAGGCCGGGCGCGGTAGCTCACGCCTGTAATCCCGTTTTGGGAGGCCGAGGTGGGCGGATCACGAGGTCAAGAGATCGAGACCATCCTGGCCAACATGGTGAAACTCCATCTCTACTAAAAATACAAAAATTAGCTAGGCGTGGTTGCTTGTGCCTGTAATCCCAGATACTCAGAAGGCTGAGGCAGGAGAAGCGCTTGAACCTGAGAAGCAGAGGTTGCAGTGAGCCGAGATCATGCCACTGAACTCCAGCCTAGCGACACAGTGAAACTCTGTCTTAAAAAAAAAAAAAAAAAATACAAAAATTAGCCAGGCGTGGTAGCGGGTGCCCGTAATCCCAGCTACTGGGGAGGCTGAGGCAGGATAATCACTTGAACCTGGGAGACAGAGGTTGCAGTGAGCAGAGATCGCACCACTGCGCTCCAGCCTGGACGAGAGAGCATCTTAAAAGAAAAAAAAAAAAAAAAAGGTCAGCCTCCAGCAGCCTGGAACAGCATGTGAGAGTGAGCTGGAGGGGCAAACAGAGGATATTCAGCACACCCCAGCCTCGGGCCCCTTGGGTTCCGGAGGTGAGCATCCTCGTCATGCCCTCATAATTCTTCCAGGTTACTTGCCCAAAGACCACCTTGAGCACAAATGTCTCCTCTGCTGAAACTGTCTCCTTTATCTCCAGCGCCTCTTCAGCACTATTCATCACCTTCTAGTCATCCTCTTCTTCACTGAAATGTTAGGATTTCATTCCAAGTCCTGCCGTCACCCTGAAGACCCCAAGTTCATGTGAGCAACGCAGTCGACATCCAGGACCTCTCCGTTTCTGGGCTCCCTCATCTTTAGTGATTTTCAGCTCATTCCT